TAACCTGGGGTACAGTGATTCATGCCTATAATCCCAGCACTTTGGGAAGCCAAGTTGGGGGGATCACTTGAGGCCAGAATTTTCAGACCTGCCTAGGCAACGTAATGAAACCCTGTCGCCATTAAAACATTTAAAAATTAGCTGTGTGCAGTGGCATGTGCCTGTAGTCTCAGTACCTGGGAGGCTGAGGCAGGAGGGTCACTTGAGCACAGGAGTTGGAGGCTGCAGTGACCTGTGATTGCACCACTGTACTATAGCCTGGATGACAGAGCAAGATGCTATCTCCAAAAAGCCTCCAAAATGTAGTCACATGTAGCTCGTGCCTGCTGTACAGGACAGCACAGATAGGACACTTCTATCAGTGCAGAAAGCTCTGTTGACAGCACCTCTCTAGAGAACACGCCAGCTCTTTGCATTGACATTTAGAGGAGGAAGGGAAGCCTCACACAGATTCCTCCTGCTTTAGTTTTAGTTTAGTTTTAGTCACTAAACTCCTTGAGATTAAAAATGAAAACTTCTTTCACCTTGGTGCCAATTAAAAAAAAAAATTCCTGCCACCTTTTGTCACAGTTCATTTCTCAGTGCCAGTGCCAGTAGGTCCCCTTTCTCCCCACAGCAGTGACAGTGGCCACACACTGCTGTTTTCTGCAGGCAGTGGAACAGACATCCCTAAGACTTGGCCACAACATCAGTTGCCTGTGGTAGCAAATCCTGCTGTTACAGGATCCCTTCCCAGCAGCCTCTTTCCCAGCCCCTCTGGCTTTGGGGCTCAGGATCCCTGGCTGGCTTCTCCCGTCTGTGTGCACCATCATCTCTGCCCATGTACCACATGGCTGTCACTGAGCAGAGAGGGGTAGGCCCCACTTTCTGAGGGGACTGATCTTTTTAGAGGCGTGCAGTGCTGAGTGAGAGGGAGGCTGAGGCAGGGGTCCCCAGCACTGGCTTTGTAGCTCCCTGGTAAGGTCTCTTGTCCCAAGTACTGTTTTAGAGCTCGATCCTGAGACCCAGTTTCATCCAAGTTACTTGTTCTGTAATTAGAAAATCAATCATCTCAGAGCACCTGTGGATGATTTCAAATATTCTAGCAAATATAGTAATGTGAACTTCTAAAATGAGGCTGGGGCTGATTGAGTGCCCTTCTGGTCCAGAGTCT